GTTAAGCGGCTGTGATACTGCGATGGGGAAGGCAACGGGAAACCACCCCATTATGATCCCTAGTAAAGTTATCATGGAATCAATGAGTGTAATGAATACTACTGATCATGGGCTGCGGAACTCAAGATCCGGCAGGGGAAGGAATACACAATCAAACCACAGGGCTTCCCAGGTCGATAGCCAGCGAAATCCCTGTGAGGAAAACATCACTAGACATACGATGAAAATGAAGAATCCATACAAAGTGGCTACATGGAATGTAACAACCTTATATGAAGCCGGTAAGTTGAGAAATCTACTCTCTGAAATGGACAGATTAAACATTACTATCATGGGGGCGAGTGAAACAAGATGGCCAAACAAAGGGAATTTCAGTGCAAATGGTTACGCCGTTTATTTTTCTGGAAATCAAGACCATATGCATCGAAATGGAGTAGCAATAATTATCAAACAGCATATTAATAAGTATGTCACTAACTTCATCCCAATATCAGACAGAGTAATTTTAATACAGCTGAATGCTAAACCTGTAAATATAAATATCATCCAAGTTTATGCTCCCACTGCTGACGCAGATGAGCAGAATATTGAAGAATTCTACCATCAAATAGAAGAAGTGCTAAAAATAACAAAGAAACACGAAGCAATAATAATTATGGGTGACTTCAACGCTAAAGTTGGACAGAAGATGACGCAGGGTATCACCGGAAAGTTTGGCTTGGGAGACAGAAATCAAAGAGGTGAACGGCTAATAGAATTCTGCCAAGAAAATGACTTCGCCATTACAAATACCTGGTTTCAACTTCCAGAAAGGCGTCTTTACACGTGGAAATACCCTCAAGATGGACATCAAGGCAGAATAGTACGGAATCAAATAGACTACATCCTAATAAACCACCGATTTCGAAACAATATTAAAGATGTAAAAACTTACCCCGGCGCTGACATAAACTCAAATCACAATTTACTCTGCTCCAAAATACAAATTAAATTGAAGAAATTAACAAAGCCAACTAAGCCTTGTAAGATATATCTCGACCCCCTGAAAAACCCTCAAACGCGCGAACACATAACACAGCAAATAAATAGTAAAATACACAGAATATCAAATATACCAAACGAAAACAGAACCATTAACGAATGCTGGTATGCCATTCAAAACTCGATTTTAGAGAACGTACAAGAGTCTTTGAAAACACCTACCATGTTGGCAAAAAATGAGTGGATGACACAAGAAATTCTAGATCTGATGGAAGTTCGACGGCAACACAAAAATAGAAATATTATCGAATATCGTGAAATTAATAAACGCATAAAAAGAAAAATTAAGCAAGCCAAAGAATCCTGGCTTGAGAATTTATGTAAAGAAATAGAAGACCTCCAAAAAAAGCATGACAGCTTCAACCTGCATAAGAAACTTAAATATACTGCCGGAATTAGAAAACAGAAAAATGCTCACATACTTAAAAGCGCGGACGGAAAAATTTGTGATCACGAACAACAGTACAAAGAATGGGAGAGATACATCACTGACCTTTTTGACGATGCTTCTAGGGAAAATGCTCCAAATACTGCCTATGACAACCAGTTGGACAGAGGTCCCAATATACTGAATTCGGAAGTCGAAAAGCCAATACAGCAAGCCAAAAACAATAAAGCACCTGGACCAGATCAAATCCCTGCCGAATTACTTAAACTTTTGGATGAGGAAAGCATTGCCTGCTTAAACAATTTCTTCAACAAAATTTACAACGAAGGAAAAATACCAGATGATTGGTTAGAGTCACTGTTTATAACATTACCAAAGAAAAGCAGGCCCACCAAATGCAGCGATTTTAGACTAATCAGTTTGATGAGTCACACACTGAAGATACTCTTACGAATTATACAAAACCGAGTATTCCTTCTATGCGAAAGTAAGATGGGTGATAAGCAATTTGGATTTAGAAACGGTCTAGGAACTAGAGAGGCACTATTCTGTATGCGCGTTCTATTACAAAAAAGTTGTGAATTCCGAAAGAATGTTTATGTTTGTTTCATCGACTTCGAGAAGGCGTTCGACAGAGTCCAACACAATACACTTTTCGACTGCCTACGGGCAGCAGGACTTGACCACTATGATATAAGACTGCTGAAATACTTATATTACAATCAAGTAGCCTCTATCCAAATTGGAGACAGTCCCACTGAAAAAATACCCATCAAACGTGGAGTACGGCAGGGTTGTGTTTTGTCACCCACTCTTTTTAATCTATAATCTGAAGAAATCTTTAGGGAGGCTTTGGATGACAGACAAGAGGGAGTAAGACTAGGTGGAGAAGTAATCAACAATATTAGATACGCTGACGATACAGCCATTCTTGCAGAAAGTTTACAAGATCTCCAAACATTACTAAATCTAGTCAGTGAAGCAAGTTATCGGAGAGGCCTAAAAATCAACATTTCAAAGACAAAGTGGATGGCAGTTGGAAAGATCCATATAGATCAAGGTCTGCTTTCTCTTAATGGAGAAGAGATAGAAAGGGTAAATCATTTCAAATACCTTGGCAGCTGGTTAAATGTAAATTGTGACTCTGATGAAGAGATAATATCCAGGATCGAAATATCACGTAAGGCTTTTATGACCTGGAAACCAGTTTTATGCAACAGAAACCTGTCAATGAACATTCGTAAGAAGGTCCTGAAATGTTATGTGTGGTCGATCCTATTGTATGGTTGTGAGACATGGACGTTAAAAACCACAATGCTAAACAAGTTAGAAGCATTCGAAATGTGGTGCTATAGACGAATCCTAAAGATATCGTGGGTTTCGCACATTTCCAATGAAGATGTTCTTCAAATGATCAACTCAGAACGTCTGCTCATAAACATCATAAAGAGGAGAAAAACAGAATACTTCGGCCATATAATTAGAGGACCCAAATACCATTTACTTCGCCTTATAATACAAGGAAAAGTGGAAGGAAAGAGATGGATTGGTCGAAAGAAACTTTCATGGCTGCGTAATATTAGACAATGGTGTGGTTTCACAGTAGAAGAATTATTTCGCGCAGCAGCCGACAGAGAAAGGTTTCAGGAAATTGTAAGCATGATGACGGCCAACGTCTGAATACGGACACGGCACCCAAAGAAGAAGAAGTGTATTTGTTATGTCCCAATTTACATTTATGACATTCTGTTACTGCTGGATAGGCCACAACTGACGAAATGCCCCTGAGGATGATCTTATGATCGAAAGTACTTGGACAAGATTTGATTAATTACTGTGTTCGATATTTGCCTTGTGTACCATCAAAGTTTAATTAAATATAAGACTTAACAATGGGAACATCCAAAAGGTCCCCAAGTTCAGATATCTCGGTAGTTGGATAACTGAAGATTTAAATTCAGACATAGAGATACGTAGCAGGATTGAGCAAGCCAGAACAGCATTTACTAATATGAGAACCTTGCTAAGCAACTGCAGCCTTAACTTAACGCTTCGATATCGCTTTGTAAAATGTTACATTTACTCCATACTGCTATATGGTGTAGAAAACTGGACCATAAAGGCGAATGTGATGAATCGATTGGAGGCGTTTAAAATATAGGTATTTAGAAGACTACTTAAAAATCCCCTGGACAGATCACACAACAAATATCGGAAGTATTAAATCGAATAGGCAGAGAACGAAAATTGCTGCCAATAATGAAAAGAAGAAAAACTGCTTATTTGGGTCATATATTTCGAAATTTTAAGTACCAGGTCTTAAAGCTTATTATGGAAGGGAAGAAAGAAGGAAAACGGGGCATCGGAAGAAATAAATACTCATGGCTTAAAAGCATAAGGGATTGTACAAACCTCTATGCCCATGCACTCTTTAGAGCAACACAAGATAGAGAGGAGTATGCCAGAATTGTCGCCAACATCCACTAATTGGATAGGGTACCATAAGAAGAAGACACATCGAGGGGTGAGAAATCTGAGGCAATACAATCAATTATGGTAGATGTTGTTTTAGTAATTATTGTAGGAGAATTAACGTGCATTGTGAGACCATACGATTGGAATATATTGACCAAGAACAGTTAGGTGTCACTGCATAGAATTTGTCTACTTTTATTGGGCAAGTCATCTAACAAATTTAGCAGGTTCTGAAAAAATAGTTCAGTAGAAGAGTCAGATGATCTATAAATTCAAAAATGTATAGATTAAGATTCTTCTTATAAACTAATTAATACTCAAAAAGGCTTCATTCAGCAGAGAGTCATATTTTGTTATCGGAGAGAAATCATTATTAGTAGAAAAAATTAGGATACCACCATGAGCTGAACTTGAACGATCATACTCAGCAATTCGGGTAGCACAAGAAGCAGCGTAATTAATATTTAAGTCACCACAAATAATTTTTCTGCTTTTATTGGGCATGTCATCTAACAAATTTAGTAGGTTCTGGAAAAATATTTCAGTAGAATAGTCATATGATCTATAAATGCAAAAATGTATAGATTAAGGTTCTTATTATAAACTAAGGAAAACTCAAAAAAGGCTTTATTCAATAGAACGTCATATATTGTTATCGGAGAGAAATCATTATTTGTAGAAAGAAATAGGGACCACCATGAGTTAACTTGGACGATCATACGACCTAGCAATTGTGGTATATTTAAAAAAATTATTTTTGATGGTTTTGAAAACAAAAGTTTTCAGTGTTTTATTGTTATATAAAAAATGATTTTATTTCAATATTTATGTACCTCTGTATTTACAATTATGTATTTGTATTCGATCTTTTTAGTATTATCGTATATATTTTAATAACAAATGCCATAAAAATTATCTTTGGAATTTTTGATTTAATATTTATGTTGGTAAATACATTGAATTCATTTTTGTGTCATATCAGACGTCAATAGTAAAACACACGATAAGAAAACTATAAACTAAATGAATAAAACTTCAACCTAATCGATAAACTTAACTTTCATAATATAACACCACAAATTATTGGCATACTTACTCTATATGATTTGTACGTAACGAAATTTCTAAATCTCTAAGAACTTGCGTTGAAGTTGAATCCACAACCATTTTTCGTTTCTGAAACAAAAACAAAATACATTAATTTTTCCCATTATCTACTGAAAATGTTAAAAATTAAATTTATTTTTCAGTGTCAAAATTTTATGATTAATTGAGGGCATGAAAACCAAAGTGACTTCCTAATTGTCAAATGTGAATATCAAATTTTATTCAACCAGCCATAAGAAATATATAACGAATATTGCCACAGTGGTCTAAAATTAGTCAAAATAAAATACAGTAATTTTTAAACATAAGTAACACCATAGAGTATGTGAGTTTGGTCAGTGTAATCACATAATGTCCTGAAAAATTTAACTTTTTGGCCTAACTTTACGACAATAAAAACTAAGGATTTTTCACCTAAGAAGACCGCTTTGCAATTAAATGCTGGTAACTTTATTACTAGCGGACCAGATAAGCGGCGATATATTTTACACTACCTTTATGAATAACATTTTACTGCTCTGTTGTTTTAATCAGTGCTGCTCAACAAGTTATCGTTGGTTTTTAATTGTATTGCAATGTTAATTTTTTAAATTTCTTCTGAAGTATCGTATAATATAGGTTTCCCAATAATTAAAGTTATGCATTTACAAGAATATATTATTTGAAAAATAAGGGGTAAATACCATATGTCATAATAATTGTAATCTCAGGAAAAAGACAGTTAAGATTTTATACACACTTAAAAAAATTGTTTAGTAATGTATTGCTTAAATCCACACAATAATTGAAAAATGATTCATGCTGTTTAAAATATCTTTTTCTTAACGACACTGCCATCAACAAATTCATACGTCATCATATTTCTCTTCTGTTTATCGTTAAAAATTAATTGATGGTCGTGGGCTGTATTTTTGTGTTTTATTAATTTAACAAAATACATAATCAGCAAAAACCTTATTTAAAACATGCAAACGGTTTTTGCAATCCTGCTAGCGAAATATCAGACACTGAATAGGACAAAATGTTTGCTAAAATGAAGAAACAAAAAAGTGTTTCGGGAATTCAATTCAAATTTTTTTTAGTGCCAATTTGTTTCAAAGTTATATTTAATACAGTGTCTGCAGAAAGTAAAGTCTTTACCAGCAACTTAGCAAGTATTTTCCAATTTAACTGCATGCAAAATCATTGGTATTATTTTTACTCTACGCAAAATAGAGACTTATAGAGACCTTGATGAACATTTGATGTCGACAAATATTTTCGATTATTCAAAATATTCCGTCCCACTTCTTATAACCGCTCTGTATATACATAATATATTCATTTTATTTCCCTTTGATACAGTAAAATCCAATATTATTACTGAACATAAAATAGGAAATTAAATATTTTTACTTTTCAAGCGATCGAAATTAAATATTTAACGAATTAAACGCCCCACTGTTTGAGGTCCACTGATCATATCTTAATTACATATCGGCCTTCATAGGCTAAAAGGAGTTTTTTTTTAGTATTTGTTTGTGTTTTAGTTGTAAATAAATAAAAGATAACTACTTAAAATACTATGAGAACATCGAACACTCTAAGAAATAACGAGAATCTTCTAATAAACAGAACCGACGTCGAACAAGTGGACAAATATGCATATCTGGGAACAATGATTAACTCCACAAATTATTACAATCAGGAGATCAAAATAAAAATAGAAAAGGCTAGAGCAAATTTCAATCAAATGAGAAGAGTGCTATGTATTTTCTCGACTTTAGTTTATGGAATGGAATCTTGGACCTTAAATGCGACATCAATGAAAAAAATGGAATCATTCGAGCTGTGGGTGTACAGTCTGAAAATATCGTGGACAGAACACGTCACAAACAAAGAGGTTCTGGGAAGGATGAATAAATAAATGGACATTTCAAATACAATAAAAACAAGAAAATTAGAATATCTCGGACATATTATACGTGGAGAGAAATACACCTTGCTCCAACTGATTATGCAGGGAAAGATCCAAGGAAAGAGAAGCATAGGAAGGCGTAGAATGTCATGGTTGCGCAACGTGAGAGAGTGGTACGGATGTACATCAAATGAACTTTTCAGAGCAGACGTCTCAAAAGTCCGAATAGCTATGATGATTGCCGATCTCCGCCGCGGAGGTGACACTTGAAGAAAGAAGAACTTAAAATACACACAGAAATAAACAAAAAAAAACCCAGATGTAACGATCATTGTATTCTATCTGATGAAAACGTTGATTACTCCAGTAGTGTCTACTGGTATATCATTATAAAAGGCCGCTCTGGACCTATTGCCTAGGTATACATGATGCTGCTAATCACAATGCATCTATGTATGTTTGGTACAAATGTACGACTTCAAGAGGACCTCAGGAGCTGGGGTCTTGTTTGTTGTACTACATAAGAGAAAAATGGTAATACAAAAAATTTAATTTTTTATTCAGATTAATATGGTAGCCAAAACTGCAATATTAAAATGTGTTTTATGTCATTACATAACTAGTCATCCAGACCATGTTGTGGAATAGATAAAACATAAATTTTTTGTAAGTGGACACGCATACTTAGCATGTGATCAAGGCTTTGTCTTGATACAGAAACAAGAATTTTTTTAAGAATATTTATATACTAGTCAATTCGAATGAAGTTATTATTTCAACAAGAAATATAAATCCTTTCAAGATTCTAAAGAACAAAGAATACTTTTATTCAACAAAAAAATTAGAAAACAATATCACTAATAGAAAAATCAAAAGTTAAATTGTGTAAACTAGATCCATTCAAATCATGAATGTGTTGCTTGTGTGAGTCCATTTCAAATAGGTAAAGAAATAATTATTTCTTTACCTATTTTAGATCCATTCATTTTCTTTTTTAAATACAGTAATAACATTAATGTCTTATTTGACACTGTTGCTCCAATTCATCATGAATTTTATCAAAATTTAAAGATGGTGTATCTGGGCGGAATGATTTGGATGTAGGCCAAGATGACATAGATAGTGACTATACGCCTACTCCGGCTGGTGGAATACAAATTGTGATGAGAAAGAGAGAAAAGAAGCACTTTCAAATTAAAAACAAAACCCTTACTTTGAAAATTAATTAAAATGTCAAGATATGGCAAAAAGTAAAAAAAAAAAATTAAAAATAGCTAAAGAACGTTGGAAAAATTTGGTCTTCGGCTTAAACACGAATACTCCTTCTTCAGCATTTTGGAATTAAGCCAGAAAGATAAATTGAAAACCCATCTATACAATACGTGTTAACGATACATTAGTCTATGAAATGATTGATCAAATTGCTTCTCCATCAGACCAACGATACAGCGATGTTTCAAATCAATAAAACCATTTTCTGCTAGAACCATTTAATTTTAGAGAAAAAAAAGTCCAGGATTGGATAATATTAAATATCCCATCATACAATACATCCCAAAAATAGCTAAACTCTTACTAATATTTAATGAAGCAGTCAACAATAAAAGCTTAGTTCCTTAATTTCAAGATGTTTCAACAATAATTTTTAGTCTCTAGTCATTTTGATTGATATTGTTATTAAACTAAAAAAGTAAAATTGTTATTAGTTAGGCCACTCTCGTTCTCATGGACTCAATTATGAGTGTCCCGGTTGAGAAATATTCTCAACTTGTCGACTGATTGTCAACTGAAAATGCTTCTTTAGGTACAGTCTCCTATTCGGAGGTTGGTAGTCATCACGACTATTTTGACTTTTGATACTGCAGATCTGAGTAAATCTACAGAACTATCTTCTACAGAATCTACTTCCTCAAATTATTTAACCAGGAAATACGCCTTCATCCAATACTGCTCAGTGCTTGTATTTTACCCTGTACTATCATCAGTAACAAGAATTACTTATTTCCTCTCGTCATATGACCTAGAAATTTTAACTTTCTTATCTCAACTGAGAACTATCATGCCTTGAGGAATCTCCAAGAATGGCATTAGGAGGTCCATGCAATATAAAAGAATCAAAAGACTGATATTTTTTTTGTACACACTTATGACAAGTCGAAAGAAAATGCAAAAAAGTATTTTTGAAGTGTGTATATTTTAGGCAATTCCTAGCTGAGCGCTTTCGGCTTTACAAAGCCATCATCAGAGCTATGCTACAATAAAATGTTCTAATAAGTACTAATTGGTAAAGATTGTAATTTTTAACTTACGTCAATTTTTTAAAATACCACTACAAAGAAGAGATCTCATTTCCTTAAGTTTTAAAATTATGATATTGTAGGAGTTGGAATTCTTAAAACACATAAAAAACATATAAAAAGTCAACACTGGACTTCACAAACACGTTAAAAAATTGAAAAAATTTTTGTCATGGTACGGGTTTTAAGACCCGACCATCTATTGATGTGAGGACGTAGACTGAATAGAACTAGTGAAATCAAATGTCGGTCCTTTTAAACGATTTTTCAAAAGTGACAGGTGACAAATGTCATATATAGGAAATAGAGATTGTTTTTTTAAATTCTTACAAAATTATTTAGTAGTTTGGAATTACTACTAGTCATCAAAGACTTTCTAAAAATTAAGTTTTTAAATTAAATGTTATGTGTTCATCACATCATACAGAATGAAATTAATTTGTAAATTCACTCAAGTCATTGCTCAAGGTCAATGTGTGTTCAATCTGACAGCTATCCTTAAGGAACAAGGGCTCAAATTGTTCAACAACACTATAAAGAAGAAACCTGGTATTAATGTTATGTTATCTGATACTTAAGTGTATTAAGAATTGTATGTCTTGATGGAAAAATGTAAGAACTTTGTATAAAAATTTTTTTAAGAATGTATTTTCATGTTTCAATTAAGAACAACTGTCAAATGAATTACAAAATGTTGTAAATTTTAATAAAGTTTAAAATTTGTTTAAAAAATAAAAGTATGAAAAATATATAACAAGATTGCATGAGGTCACCCTTCTTCCTCTAAAGTCTCCCATAATAATTTAAAAAGAGGTTTATAGTTGCAATTGAGGTTGATTTGTGTGTTTAAGCAACAATCAGGGTTTATTTTCATT